TCCCCGATTTTTTTTATATGGTGCACACTGACCATGGAGACCCATTCTCTCACATGTGGGCCTACCAGCTTTCTCCTGCTTGATTTGAAGCTGCTAGAATTTATGCGTATAAATACGTCAGAAACATTGGCTCGTAAGACGTATTTATACGTCGGAAACAGTCAAAGGGTTAAAGCAGGGGACAAGTTGTTACCGTCAAATTACTGCCCAATAAGCCTAACCTCAATTGTAGGCAAATTACTAGAGTCAGTTATAGCTGATAATATAAGAAGCCTTCTCGATAGGCATAATTTGATTAATGATTCTCAACATGGTTTCACCAGGGGCCATTCCTGCCTAATTTATTAACCTTCTTCAGCAAAGCTTTTGAGGCCGTTGATCAGGATAAAGAATTCGATATTGTTAATTTAGATTTTAGTAAGGCTTTTGATAGAGTACCACATCAGAGACTTTTGAAGAAAGTAGCTGCTCATGGCATTGGGGGAAAAATGCTGTCATGGATCGAGTCATGGCTCACTAATAGGAAGCAGAGAGTGTGCATAAATGGGGTTAAATCTGAGTGGGGATCTGTAACAAGTGGCAGGGATCAGTTTTAGGCCCATTGAAGAGGGAATTACTAGTGACATAAGCAGATTTGCTGATGACACGAAGATAGGTAGGATAATCGATTCAGACGTTGATGTCTCACAACTTCAGGAGGATTTAGACAAACTCAATTCGTGGTCAGAAAAGTAGCAGATGCAGTTCAATGTAGATAAATGTAAAGTTCTAAAGCTCGGAAATTGGTGACACTTCTTCAAAATAAAGAAACCCAGGTGTTGCACATATCTAATTCATCAACCTCTTGTTATTCTGTACCAAGAAAAAAAACTCTTAACCCTTTCAGTGTCCGTGCCGTAGATCTACGGCTTTACGTTCAGGGTCCAAACTGTAGATCTACGCCATAAGCTCAGCTCACTCTGATAAGCTGTGAGTGGTAAATTTGGGCCTAGATATGAGAGAATACATTTATGTGGTATGTGTGCACCATATAAAACAAATCCTGCAGCACACAGTGGATAATGAGAGAAAAAACTGAGACCGTGATTTTCGATTAAAACAGCGACTTTGCAGTGTTTTTTGTATGTTTTTTATAGTTGTATTTGTGATTTCTTGGTCTCATTTGATAGAATGAAAGATATATTCCAGAAGTAGAGATGATTTTGATTGGTTTTAATACTGAAAATGGCTTGAAACTGAGCTCAAAGTAGCGGAAATGTTAAATTTTTTTAATGTTCAAGAGTAAACAAACGACCTCACACGTCTAATACACGCCAGCTGGTGGGTCTGATATACATTCACAAATGTGGTGATGATATTTATACAATTATTACAATATTGCATAACAGTAAATCTTCTATTTTTTGGTTTGAATAAAAAATCATTATGTGAATAGAAAATCAAAATGGAATTCATTTGTAAAGCCTGAAAACATAACTAATGAACAAAGGAAATGTTAGTTTAGTGCCAGGAATGCCTGCATTGTTTTTTCTGGAACTATTTTGAAATTTGAATATTTTGAACTTTGTGTTAAATTGGCCAAATTACCAATTTCCGATCACTTTAATTTGCAGTTGAAACAGTTGACTGGGCTATTTCTTGTGCTCAATCGATAGAATAGAAGTAATACTAGTGAAATAGCTAAGAATTTGGTCGACTGGAATAATGTAATTGGCGTCAAATGGGAGTCAAAGTCGTCAAAATCGCCGATTCGTAAATATCGCTGGCACATAAAAATTTGTGAGAGCATAATTTCGTCAATTTTCCATCAAATTTTGTACTTTTTGTTTTATTACCTTCAGAAAAAGATTCTCTACCATTTCATAAGAAAAAATAAAAATTTTTTTTTTAAATTCTTGGACCCTGGTGCATACTTTGAAATTTGGCCTCTGGACTCTGAAAGGGCTAAACTGAGTCAACAACCAGCTTTCCCCAGGTCTTTAACCCTTAAACTGTCCAAACGTAGATCTATGTTCACGTGCGTAGTGCTCCGCCCTTGATTTTCCCCATTTGAACGCACGTAAAAAAAACGTAGATCTACGTTTGGAGCCTGCCGGACGTCAATGTATATCTATGTTTGGACAGTTTAAGGGTTAAAATGGAGGTCTGAAGAAAGTAACCCTATGTTTTCCATACATTTTTCAGTCCATAATTCACAGAAATCATTGGTAACATGGTTTTCAGGAATGTAATCAGTGTGAATTATGAATGTCCACTGTGCAGTATATTTAACCCCTTGACTGTTACAACCCCAAATCCTGAGGTGTCTCCTGGAGTCGCAAAATTTCCCCCCAAAAAAAAAAAAATTGGGAAATGATAGAGAATCTTTTTCTGACTGTAATGACACCAAAAGAAGGAAATTTGTTGGAAAACTGACGTAATTATGCTCTCACGAAGTTAGCGACCTCGGCAATATTGACAAATTGGCTATTTCATCCACTTTGAACCCTATTTTCAGCTAATTCCATTGTTCCATTCGACCAAACTCATAGCTATTTCTTTAGAACTCTATTTTTTCTATTGAGTGAGTACAAGAAACTGCCCATTTACCGATTTTAACTACCAATAACATGGTCAGAAATTTGCAATTTGGCCAATTTCACGAAAAATAAAAAATATGACAATTTCAAGATAGGCTCCAAAATGAACAATGCAGGCATTCCTGGCTCTAAAATAAATTTTCTTTGTCCATCAGTCACATCTCCAGGGCCCCTCTGATATTACTCTTGCTTTCTATTTTGAATTTTTATTCAAACAAAAAATAGAAGATTTGCTGTTATGCAGACTACTGCAATATTGTAATAATTGTATAAATAATGTCAACCCATTCATGACTGCATATTAGAATGGCTACTTGGACATTTATTTAAAAATGGCATCATTTGTTTACTTTTGAACATCGGCAAAAATCAAACATTTCCCCTACTTAGAGCTCCATTTCAAGGTCCGTTTCATGGTAAAACCAATGAAAATCATTTCTATTTCTATAATATGTTTTCCATTCTATCGAATGAGACCAAGAAAATGAGAATACAACCATAAATACTATACGAAAATAGACCACAAAGTCGGCATTTTAACCCTTTCAGGGTCGACAGGCCCTCTCAGAAACTCGTTCTCAGGGTCGGCCAAATTTAAAAAAAAAAATAATTTTCTCTTATGAAAAGATAGAGAATCTTTTCCCGATCATAATGACACCAAAAGTTTGAAATTTGATGGAAAACTTACGGATTATGCTCTCGCGAAGTTAGCGGTCTCGGCGATGTTTACGCATCAGCGATCTTGCCCACTTTGAGCCCCATTTTCGGCCAATTCCACTGTACTAGTCGACAAAAAACATGAATATTTTGCTAGAACTCCATTTTTTCTATCGAATGAGTGCAAGAAACCTCCCATTTATCAATTTCAACTATCCAGTACAGTGGTCAGAATTTAGCAATTTTGCCAATTTCACACAAATTTCAAAAAATGCCAATTTCCTAATAGGGTCCAGAATAAACAAGAAAGACATTCCTGGCACTAAAATAACATTTCCTCTGTTCATTAGTCATGTCCCACGCCCCTCTTACATTCTTTTGCTTTTCACTTTGAATTTTTATTCTCACAAAAAAATAAAAGATTTACTGTTATGCAGACTACTGCATTAGTGTAGAAATGGTATATATAATATCAGCACACTTGTGAAAGAATATTAGACTCACTAGTTGACATGTATTGGATGCATAGCATGATTTGTTTACTTTTGAACTTTGGTAAAAATCAAACATTTCTGCTACTTTGAGCTCAATTTCAAGGTAGTTTTCTTTGTAAACCCAGTCAAAATCATCTCAATTTCTGTAATATACCTTCCATTCTATAAAATGAGACCAGAAAAACTAGAATACAACAATAAATACCATACGAAAATACAGTGCAAAGTCGCTGTTTTAATCCAAAAACACGGTCAAAGTTTTTTTTTTCTCATTACGCACGGTGTGCTGCAGGATTTTTTTATACTGCGCACACAGACCACATAGACCCATTCTTTCATATGTAGGCCTACCAGATTTCTCTACTAGTACGGCTGAAACCCTGAAAGGGTTAATTAAAAAAACGGTCAGAGTTTTTTTTTCTCATTATGCACTGCGTGCTACAGGATTTTTTTTTATGGTGCACACTGACCACACAGACCCATTCTCTCACATGTGGGCCTACCAGCTTTCTCCTGCTTGATTTGAAGCTGCTAGAATTTATGAGTATATATACTTCAAAAATGGTGGCTCGTAAGACGTATATATACAATCAATACACAAATAACCCACACATAAAAGAGAGAAGCTTAGGACGACGTTTCGGTCCGACTTGGACCATTGACAAAGTCACACTGTGTGACTTTGTCAATGGTCCAAGTCGGACCGAAACGTCGTCGTAAGCTTCTCTTTTATGTGCGGGTTATTTGTGTATCGTTCCAGTCACGGTATTGTGCCTTTTTTGTTATATACGATCAAAACAGTCACTTTATTTTATAGTTGAAACAGTTGACGTGGCAATTTCTCATGCTCAGTCGACAGAATAGAAGTAATTCTATTGAATTAGCTAAGAATTTGGTCGACTGGAATAATGTAATTGGCCTAAAATGGGAGCGAAAGTCGGCAAAATCGCCGATGCGCAAATATCGCTTGCACATCAAAATTCGCGAGAGTATAATTCGCCAATTTTCCATCAAATTTCGTACTTTTTGTTTTAGTACCTTCAGAAAAAGATTCTCTACCATTTCATAAGAAAAAATATTTTTTTTTTTTAAATTCTTGGACCTTGGTGCACACTTTGAAATTTGGCCTCTGGGCCCTGAAAGGGTTAATCAGAGTATGTTAGATCCAGCTGTCCTGGGATGCCAAGGATTTGTAGTGGCAGTAGGTGATTTGAAGTTTTTTATGTTATGTCAATTAAAGCACAGTATTGATATCTTTTGTCATTTTCAGAGGGAAACTACGACGTATAATGGCCCAGTTTGGTCCATATGTGTGGGTGGACTATGACTGGAAACCTCTGTCATCCCTTGGACGCTGGTTTTCCATGCTTGGGATTATTGCGATAGTAAGTGAAAGAATTATGGCTTATAATTAGCTTATAAATTCCACTAAATAACAGTTTTGTTGCTACCAGAAATTATAAGACGAAGGTAACATTTAGCAGTGTTAGAAGCCTGTAGAAAATGCACATATATTGTGTATATATACAGCAAGCTTTCTTATAACATGGGCTATGCAATTCTAAAAATTAATGCCTTATGAAAATTAACTTTATATGAAATGAAGAACATTTGGAAAAATAAGGCCATGTTACTTATGTTAAAATTATTAATGAAGGCAAAGCAGGAAAGCAGGAGGTAGAATATCAGAAGAAGAAAGATGGGTTTAGGGAATGGTTGGGAATGTTTTGATTATGTTTACATAAAGTGAAAGTGAGTGCTAGTGTTTGGGAAAGGTGTGAGTTTATATTGTAGATGACAATTCTTTCGGGAGATTCAGTAGTTTCAGAGGTTGAAGTTTAGAAGGACATGTAGGTAAACAAGTTATTATGGAAAGATCAAGATGATGAATGTAAGCAGTAGTGCAGGCTAAGGAAGATTAGATGCAAGATAAGAGGTAAGGAGTATAGAGGAAATGAATGCACTTAGATTTTTGGGAGTGGATATGTCAACATATGGGTGTGTGAAAGATAAAGAAAGAAGGTAGCTGGAGTGTTGCAGGGGTCTTTGGAAAGAAAAAAGTTTGTTGATGTATAGTGATATATCAGAATATAGTGGTTTGTTTGTGAGGCATGGTCTTTAATGTTTCAGGGTCCATGCCATATATCTACGGCTTTGAAGCCAGGGTCTAAACTGTAGATCTACGCCATGAGCTGAGCTCACTCAGATAACTTGTGAGCAGTAAATTTGGGCCTAGATATGAGAGAACACATCTGTGTGATAAGTGTGCACCACATAAAACAAATCCTGCAGCACGCAGTGCATAATGAGAGAAAAAACTGCAACAGTAATTTTGGATTAATACAGCAACTTTGCGGCATTTTTTTCGTATGTTTTTTTACAGTTGTATTCGCTATTTCTTGGTTTTATTTGGTAGATTGGAATACAGGTCCGCCATCACAAATCCGGCAATCAGTTATTCGGTTCCTTCAGTTATTCGGCACTAATTTTAGCTAGCATAATTTCAAATTTCCAGGGTCGCCACACCAACCTGCTGGTACTGTTTGGTGGTGCTACTTGCTGCATAAGTCATTCCAATTTCTTTTTCTCCATTTATTGTTTTAACCTGCTTAATTTTAGCCCTAGCCATGGTTCCAATGAATAAAGGAAATGCTTCTCATTATGTAAAGCACCTACACAGTACATTATCCATTAAAGATAAGGTGGCTTTGAAGCCACTGTCGGTTGCCATGAACTCAGTCTCATGAAGCAGGAGAATATGCTTTATTATTACGCTAATATCAACACTACAGCTTATTTGCCTATCACAATTGATCTAATATGACATAAGAAACAATATAAATAACATAAAACATGTTAAATACTCCAGAATGAATAATATTTGGCATAACACCGAGCAGTTCGACAGAGTTTGAAGAGGATATAGTAAACAAATACCATCAAGTCATACCTCAGCAACAGAAGCCAATATGTGTATGCAAATGGGGCAAACTCTTCTGCACAACCAATTACAGTTGGTGTCCCACAGGGAAGTGTCCATGGCCCTCTTCTCTTTCTCCTATACATAAATGACCTACCAAATGCTTCGCAATTACTCAAACCCACACTATTTGCAGATGACACTACATACGTCTTCTCCCACCCGAGCCCAGTCACGCTAGCCAATACTGTAAATACCGAATTACAGAAAATATCTACCTGGATGAGGACTAACAAACTTACACTAAACATTGACAAAACCTACTTCATTCAGTTTGGTAACAGAGCTACAGATGTCCCTCTTAACATAATGATAAACGGATCACCTATCACAAAGCTAACAGAGGGAAAATTCTTAGGAATCCACCTTGATAATAGACTCAAATTTCATACACATATACAACAAATTTCTAAGAAAATTTCCAAGACTGTAGGCATACTATCGAAGATACGGTACTATGTTCCACAGTCAGCCCTCCTGGCCCTATATCACTCTCTTATTTACCCCTATCTCATCTATGGAATTTGTGCATGGGGCTCAACAACAAGTAACCATCTCAGACCACTAATTACCCAACAAAAGGCTGCAGTTAGAATGATAACAAATTCTCACTATAGGCAGCACACTCCACCAATATTCAATACACTAAACCTACTCACCATACAAAACATCCATACTTATTACTGCACCTATTACATACATAGAACACTTAACTCTGATATTAACCCTCCCCTCAAACATCTCCTTGCCAACCTCAACAGAACACATGACCATAACACAAGGCACAGATCACTCTTTGATGTTCCTCGTGTCCATCTCACACTATGCAAAAACTCAATGCACATAAAAGGCCCTAAAATCTGGAATTCATTACCTGTAAATATAAAAGAAACACTACCTGTTTATAAATTCAAGTCTCTTCTCAAAGATCACTTACTCACCCAAAACCAAATAAATACTGAATAACTGAACCTTATAAATTGTATATCTTAAATGTTTCTCACAATTATATCACATAAATGTTAAACCTAAAACCCAATCTAACTTTATTATTTTTTAAATACACTACCTAACAGAATACTCCATTCTACTGAATGTACAACAATGCATACAACCATATGACCTGTCTTTGTAATACTCACTTGTGCTTTATAGTAATCTGTTTACATTAAAGTTTTATCACTGATTTCATCATTGCTTAGTTAATCTTAAGTTAATTTTAAGCCAGCCCGTAATGCTATGCATAGTATAAGTGGCTTTGGCATGCTGCTCTTATCTGTATTTTTTGTACCTCT